CAGTCTGATGGGGACTCCTTTGTAGGTGACTGTCCCCTTAGCTCTTGCTGCTTCTAGGATTCTCTCCTTCATTTTAATCTTGGCTAATGTAATGATGATGTGCCTTGGTGTGTTCCTTCTTGGCTCCAACTTCTTTGGGACTCTCTGAGCTTCCTGGATTTCCTGGAAGTCTATTTCCTTTGCCAGATTGGGGAAATTCTCCTTTATTATTTGTTCAAATAATTTTTCCACTGGTGGCTGTGCCTTTCCCCCCTTCTGGTACCCCTATAATTTGGATGTTGGAGCGTTTAAAGATGTCCTGGAAGTTCCTAAGACTCCTCATTTTTTTGAATTCTTGCTTCTTCACTCTTTTCTGTTTGGCCATTATTTGCTTTCTTCTAATCCACTCCATTGATTCGAGTCCCAGTTTCCTTTTCATTGCTATTGGTTTCCTGTGCAATTCCATTCATTTCAATTAGTTTCGCCTTCATATATTTGTCTAATTTGTCGGTATAATCAACCAGTTCTGTGAGGATCCTGATGACCAGTGTTTTAAACTGTGCGTCTGAGAGTTTTGCTATTTCTTCATCGCTTAGATTTATAGGCTCTGGGGCTTTGAGATCTTCTTGAGCCATTTTTGGTCTTTTCACACCCGTTAAGTATGAGGAGCGGAGCCTTGGACTCCCAGGTCGCTGGGTTGTGACGCTGTACGTGGGGGCGTGGTCAGAGCGGGGAAATGGCGACCCCCTCTGCTGCTTCTCACAGCTGGGTGATGAGAAGCTATGTAGCATGAGGGGGGTGGGAATGCGCACCGCTTGCCGCTGGGGCTGCTGGGTCCCATCCAATCGCCCACTCCCTCGCTTGTCTATTCCCGCAGGGATGCGAGACCACAGTCAACCCGCAGCCCTGCTCCCTCGCTGTTTCCCCGCGGTCGCTCGCTGAGTTGCCCACCAGGTCCAACCCTGCGCCTGGATTCCGCGTACCTGAGTCCGTCGGACTGAATTTTCCTGTGCTACCCCGCTCTGCCAGCTGCTGGTTTCGCTCCTCTTACCGGTCAGGCTGAAGAATTTGTTGTTAACGGACTTCTGAAAAGTTCAATTTTCCGTGTTCTGGCTGTGTTTTCTGTTGCTTTTATTTTGTCGTCTCTAAACTTGGTTGTGTGAGGAAGCACGGCGTCTCCACCTATGCTTCCATCTTGGCGGAAGTCCTCTAAAAGACAGTTATTAACCTTTGGTTGTTTGGCAATTGTATAGGCATGTAGAGGGTTTAAGATGACCTGCATTTGCATTTGAATGAAAATACAATCCCTGTTGCCTGTGCGTCTGGAAGTGTACCCTGTGCTCTGCCCACTAGATGGCTCCAGAGAAACGCCAGTCGCTGCTGCTGACCAGCAGGGCGGCTGATCTGCAGCCAGGGCTCCGGTAGGGAGGCACAGTTGCCATGGACGCACAGTTGCCATGGTTACTTCAGTCACCTGTAAGATCTGTCCTGGGCAGCACGCCACCCACATTTATTGACAAACCCCTCCAGCTTCCCTTCTAAACGAAGGAACGTTTAAGAGGCATCACTGATACTCACGGTCGGGTCAAACCAGCCACTTCTGTCTCCGGCACGATTTCATTAATTCAGCTCTGTGAGGCCGGTGGGTGTCTGGAAGCTGGACAGGAGTACAGGGGGACCCTCTGGAGATGCATTTACGAGGGGGCTCAGGAGGTCGCACCCTTCCTAGGCTCTACAGTGGGTCTGAGCCCCTCTGAGCCCCTACGGTGCCCTTCTGACCCCTTGAAGTCGGGCATTGTTATTGGGTTGCATTTCAGCAGTACGCATTTTTATAAAGGGAGAAATTGCAAAGTTTAAACTTTGTTCAATTCGAATTCCTCCTACGGTTGGCTCAGCCCGGCATAATCTAATAATTGTAAGAGGGCGCTTCCCTCGCTGAAAGGAACCGAGGGTCACGGTCTCTGTCAGGACCTCAGCCCCCAGTGCTACAAACCCAGGAGCCAGGCAGGGTCGGGACAGAGGGGCCGGCCCGGGCGGGGCTGCCCCAAGGATGTGCAGCCTCGACTTCGAGGCCTTTCCCCAGTTCACACGCAGGCCAGTGAGCAGGCCAAGCGGCCCTGGCAAGCGGGGAGACCGCACGGTGACAAGCAGAGGCTTGGCGACTCGGGGCAGATAACCAGTCTGGGACACTCAAACTGAGGATATTCTGTCCTGTGAAACCGAACTTGGCTTGAGCGTCCAGGGTTTTGAATCCACAGCTGTGCTGAGTGCCGGCCGCCTGCTGGTGACATCGCGTCCCAGGGCCTTCCCAGTTGCTGGAGGCGGAGAGCCCGCCTGTCAGCTGTGGGGGCCCTGATCAAGCGTGAGCCTCTCTGAAGCCGGGTTCTGCTAAGTAGTTGCTTGCACTGGTTCCCACGTTATCACATTTCTGGGCCGGGCTCAGCCTTTTAAGCTGCTGTGCTTTCACATGTTTTCTCATCTACCCTAAAATGTTCCTCCTGTCGGAATATTCTCCATCCTCCAAATGTGCGCGGAGTTTGCAGGCGCACCCCAGCCTCGTTTTCGGGGTCCCCCCCAGGGTGTTCCCATCTGGCCCGTGCATGTGGGCTGAGCTCCGGCCCTTGCGGACGTCCGAGGGGGCTTGGACAAGTTCCAGATGAGATGCTCCTGGATGTGGCACAGGCACCCGCGTCTGACACTCTGCAGGGAATGTCTGTGTCCTGGGTGCGCCCGTCTCCTGCCTTTTACCAAACGCGGCCCCGCACCTCCTGTGGGAAGGGACGAGCCCACCCTCGCGGCTCATCCTGGGCGATTGCCTGTCCTTTCACTGAAGGTCAGTGGTCACGAGGAACAAGGGGTCACAGTTTTCCGGAAAAGAACCACTGTGTTCTCAGTGTATCGCAGGCTCTGTGGAAGCAGGTGACGTGTCCGGAAGTCGCTGATTCTTCTTCGCTCCTATAACCATCGTACGTTTATCTGTCTTTCCTCTGGGCTGTATCTAAAAGCCCTTTTACTTTTAATTCGTATGATCCGTGTCTGTAGCTCTTTCTCGCTCCACCCCATCACTGGCTCTCCGATCAAACAGCACTGGATTCAGGCGGATTTTAGCTTCATCACGGCAGAGCTGACAGTTACCCCGACTGATGTGTAAAAGGCTGCACAATAGTAGTGAGCACGCCACCAAAGAGTAAGTCACTATCTACGGGGTGACGTTCGTGAGATTTCTCCATTCTGAGCTTGGTTTATTTTTCTGTAAGTCCCACACTCTGTTATCATGTCTTAACAAAATAAGTAATTGACATTATAATGCCTGGCCAGTCTAGAATTGAAGACTTTCATATAATTATGTCGTCAATAACGTTCTAACAGATAATTTGCTGAATTAAGTAGAAATTGTTTATGTAAGTTTTCACCCTACTCAGGAAGCAATTACTGATGCCCTACTGTGCGTGCAACATGAGAGTAATGGAACCCTACTGTGCAGAGCATGCCTGCAGCATGCAGGTGACGTTAGAGGAATTTCACCCACAGAAATATAAATAATAGGTTAATTCTCTCCTTCCCACAGGCAAAGAACATAATTTACCTTTAATGACATCTTCTCTTTGTCTCTGCCTTTTTTTTTTTTTAAATCCTCACCCTAGGACGTATTTATTTGTTTGGGAGAAAGAGAAAAAGGGAGAAAGAGTGACATGAGAGAGAGAAATAGCCATCCATCCCTTGCCGCCCATATCTACCCCAACCGGGAATCGAACCCGCAGCCTAGGTATGTGCCCTGACCAGAAATTGAACCCACGACCTTTGTTGTCATTTGAACCAACTGAGCAACTGGCCCTGATTGAATTACTGTTTTATTTTCTCCACCTGGTGACCAAACTTTGGGACCCGAAAAGAGCCAGCTGAATCACATCTCAGAATTGCAGTCTCGCTGCAGGCTTTCTTAGCAAACGAGCAGCGAGTTGAAGAATGATTTATTCCCCGCAGCAAGCTCAGTATGATTCTCCCGATAGGTGGGTTCTCTCGGGTCCGGTCCAGCCCCCCGACGGCCCTCCTGACTGGGCAGCACGGACGTCTGGTGTATACTTTCTCCGCATCGCCAGCGGGGAAGCGAAACAGAAGTGCCTTCACGGTGGGAGCCCTTTGCCACGAGAAATATTTGAATTACGTCCACTTTGAGTTCAGGGTAGTGCGTGGCTTGTTTATTCAAGGAGACTCCTTGCGGTGATCATTTTGGCTCATGGTCGACTTCTGAAATTCAGACTTTCTTACACCCAGAATGTTCTGCAGATTCGGCCTATCTATCCCAGCGTGCAGTGGGGAGAATGCACGCCCTTGGCCAGGAATTGCAGGGGGAAACCCTGAGAGCCTGTAGTCACTCCCGATAGAGTCAGAAGGATACTGCTGGCAGTGTTTGTCACCTGTTTTCCTGTTTCCTCGTCTGTATTTAAATGTCCTGTACAGCCCGGTCAGTAACGCCGGTTTCCGGCAGGGGCACCTCATTCCGGGCGTTAGCGGAGGGAGCCGGGCCTCCAGATCGCCCGCATCGGGGGAAGCACGCGATGAATAAACAGTACAGCCCGAGTGTCTTCCTCTTCTGCTTTGTTTCAGGAGTTGGGGACACTTGCCAGAAGCGGGTTCTGTTAACTCTGTCTACGCCTGGGTACTCCTGGCTATTAAAAGAAGCAGGAGGGACCTGGCCAGCAGGGTCTGTCGCAGGGGAAATGTTAAATACACTTCCCAGCTGTTTCTGCTCAACAGCCCGACGCTCCTGGGTCAGATTTACATCTTCCTTTGTTTTCTGGTGAAAATAACAGTAACTGTGCACTTCTGACGTGAACTGACCGTGACAAGAGGTGGCGAGATCACACAGTGACGTCACCCAGCTCAGGGACAGGTGCCCCTTTCAACCCCGAGGCAATGTTGCATCAAAGACCCGTCTGCAGCGCACGGCAGAATAACAGGGAAGGAGGCACTGCAGGGGCTGGGTGTCGCCATGGGGAGCAGTAGCCGCCACCTCCGTGTCGGTGTCTCCTGCCTCGTGAGTCAGAAGAGGCTCCGGGCCCAGCAGCCCCAGCCCAGCAGGGTCAGCTGGCGGCTGGCGGCCGACCTCCCTGCTCAGACTCCCTCCCACGCCCGGCATGTATATAAACGCCGAGCTCTCCGAAGCTGCCAGTCCTCTCGGGGAGGTGCTGCGAGCGGAGGCTGACATGACTCCTTCCCTGCCCGCACTGGCGCTGCTGCCGCTGCTGCTGCTGGGGGTCGTTAACCCCGCAAACGCCAACGGCCATTATGACAAGATCTTGGCCCACAGCCGGATCAGGGCCCGGGATCAGGGGTAAGTGGGGGGTCAGGGGGCTTTCTCCCCCCCTTTGCTCGTGGTCTGGACGAGTGGACTCCTATTGTTTCTCCTGATGACAAAGTTAGGAGGAGACAGGAAGCACTGAATAGTCTGTGGTTCTCGGATGCGTTTTGAACTTGAAGGATTCCTCGCAGCATAACTTGTGTATAATCGCTTTCTAGGAAACGTTACATTGTTCTACTCTAACCTCGAACAGGGCATTTCCTTATGGTACGGCTGACTTGTGTTTTTACTTTCTCCCAAAAGCAGCTGGGATGAGGTCTTCCAGATGAAAGCATCGGTGGTGGTTAGAGGCTGTCGTTAGGTAAACAGCATTGAGGTATCTCACAGGATGTTAGAGAAGCTTTTACTTAACTTCTGTCTAAAAATTAAGTAATTGGTAATGTAGTTCTCTGGCTTGTTTTAAGCACTTAAGACGCTTCTAAATTTTAGATTGGGTAAAAAATGCAAAACAAGTTTATGCTTCTTAGGAAAAATGCACCTACAATTGAGAATTTTATAAATTATGCCCTAATTTAGTGTCTTAACCGCACAGTTTCTGAAAGGGACCTTGGCACTTCCTCCCGTGTCTTAGGGCCTTCCAGGGCAAGCAAGACTTCTGTCTCTTTAAGAGGGAAAAAACTCTTAAAATTCTGGCAGAGGAAGTTCTGGTCTATTAGTTCCACTGAAAAACTGAATTTCCCTTGTGTGGCCACGTTACTGAACGTTACCTCCACGCAGTGGTGTGATGACTCACCGGAAAATCACAGAGTGAAACAGTGATTTCACGGTCATCGCTGTGCAGGCAGTAGTGCAAGGATCTGACCTCTGCTCTCTGACCTCTCACGGCTCCGGGGGCCCCGCAGGCTCCCCCACCCCGGGATGAGGCCACCCTTAGCTTGCAAAGGTCGATGGACTCTTTAGGTTGAAAGTACTAAGACACGTGAAAAGCTCCGTGGAGCCGGAGGCTCTCCGCCCCATCAGCGGGACTCCGGGACACTGGCAGCTTGCTCTCAGCGCCTGTCCCTTCTTCGCTCTCGTCTTCCCGGTGGCTCCGTGGGACCAGGAGTCAGGCTGGCGCGAGGCTAGACTCCCACCTTCGAAAGTCAGGCCCGCTCCTCGACTTTCTTTTCTTTGTGCATCTCCCCTGTGATGATGAAATAAAACGAGTTGCCATCGGAACATAACTCTCTTTCTTCTCTCCTGCCGCTCAAGCCCCAACGTGTGTGCGCTTCAGCAGATTCTGGGCACCAAGAAGAAGTACTTCAGCACCTGCCGGAACTGGTACCAGGGGGCCATCTGCGGGAAGAAGACGTGAGTCCCGCCGTTTTCTGCAGGGCCTTCCCTGGGGCGCACGCTGCATGTTTCTGGAAATACTCCCCCAGGTGGCGAGGGTCACACACACGAGTGACAGGTTCAGCCTGCGTTTCTCCGTGTACTGGGGGACTCTCATCCTGGACCAGTGTCAGGAGGCCCAGAGGCAGCTCATCACAGGCACATGGCAGTGTGACGTGGTGTAACGCGGGGTCGGGTGCGGGCCAGGTCATTTCTTTCTGTTTTTTTTTTTTAAAGATTTTATTTATTTATAGATAGAAGGGAGGGAGAGAAACATCAGCTGGTTATCTGTCATGCACCCCAACCACCAACCCGGCCCACAACCAAGGCATGTGCCGTGACTGGGAATAGAACCAGCAACCTTTCGGATTGCAGGCCGGCACTCAGGCCACCGAGCCACACCAGCTGGAGTGGACTCTGTCATTTCCACCCGCTCTTTATGCCGGAAGAACAAACTGCTCTAAAATATCAGAGGTTTTGAGGCATAAATAAATGTTTCCCTACAGTCATTTGGAAATTATCTAAAGTACTCCAACTGACGCCAGCGTTTTCATCAGATTTCAAGTTTTAAAGGATTTGAACTTTATCTCTTTATTTCATTCAGCCATTCTATTCCAAGCTGGGGTCCCAGGGGTCCCCAAGTTTCCCAGGGGTTCCCAAAGCCCACCCAAATATTCACTATTTCAAAAGTCAAAAAGACAATTACTCTTTAACTTAGTTATAGATGTCACTGATTAACTTACAGTTGGAAACCATGTTTTATTACTCGATAGACATGCTTATTGGTTGACTGTGTTAATAAGTATTAGCAGGAAAAATAGGACCCTGGGTGTGTAAACGTGAGAACTGTGTAGACGGTCCCAATTCTTCCTTTCGAAATGACGCACTGCGTCATAGAGTATGTCACATTGGAGATGCCCCCAGTCAAGACAACGGTGGCGATGACCCCTTGCTTCCCATCAGCTAGGGCACTGGCCACAGTGCAGACCCCTGGAGCGGCTGGGTGTGGGGAGATGGGGCAAGGGAGACCTGCTTAGCACATCATTGTTAAACACTGGTTACTCTAAATACGGCGGGAGGGTCAGAGGGTTATGGGAAACCTATTCTTCAATTTAAAATATTAGCACAGATAGTAAGTATGGAGTCATTTCACGAGTCTTCATTTCTTTTATGGATGAAGTGTGGATTTCATACTTACAGAGTTTCTGAAGGTAAATTGAATGGATGGATGTGAAATTGCTAAACAATACACAATATCAATTGTCCTTGTGTTTGAAGTATTTTAAACAGATGGATATATGCAGATGGGGAAAGGAGTGGCGAGCAGATGCCTATTTAAGATTTGTAGGACTATTTTTATTTCCAAATAAAGATCACGCGTTCAAGACCCCCTCCCCCTGAAGAATGCCACGAGCCATTCCCACTCACTGGCTTCACAGAGTTTCAGCTGGTGCTACTTTTTAAGCTGGGCATCATTCCCATTAGTTTCCAGACATCAGGTAGACTTGGGAGTCATTCGTGTGTTTATAGTTACAATTATAAGTCAGCAGTGGCAATGAACTTGACCAGAATGTACGGCAGGCCCCGGCTGGGAACTCCTAGGCTGTGGGTTCAAATATCTTTCTCCTTTTTCTTCTTGGTTTACTATGAGGCACCTTTGGGACGCACATTTGCTACATGAGAAAGGACCTGTTCCCTGAAATATTTAGGGGAAAATCTCCACTATATTCTCCCTGGAAGTTAATACATGTGATGTAATCTTATATTAACCATATAAATATATTAGAGATGCCAAGGCTTGCGCCAAACAGATGCCAAGATTCTTTCTTGCTTTCCATGAAAATTTTTTTTCCTGTTTTGAAGCCTGGCTTGTTACCAGAAATACAACAATGTCCCCTTTGTTTAATTGTATTAGCATATTTTGCCCCAAGTAGCTTCATTTTTTCACAAACACATTTATACCTGGGCTCTGGAATAAATGTAAACACCAGCTGCTCATCTCAGATAACCAAAGACGTCAGTAACTCTGACAGGAAGCACGCCTGATCTCCGTCTACTGTCAGCTGCTCAGATTGCCAGTGACACCTTTAGGACTTCACTGACTCAGTGGACAGAAATGTCTGTCTTCGGGGTGCACGGCTGCTTTAGAAATTTGGGGGATGAGTAGAGTCCTGCAGCGCCTCCTCTGCGCCCTGTGTTGCGTGTTCATCACCCGAGTCCCGTCTCCGTCCTAATAGTGGTCTCCTTCCGACCTGCAGGACCGTGCTGTACGAGTGTTGCCCCGGGTACATGAAGATGGAGGGGATGCAAGGCTGCCCGGCAGGTAAACCGCCGCTGCTGAGTGAGACGGGGGCTTGGCGTGTGGGGGGCGACTTCGAGGAAGCTTGCAGAGACGTCAGCTCCGTGTGTGTCTAGCATCCTTTAAGTCTTAGCTGTATCCCCATATATTCATACTGATGTTAATCATTAATTTATCGTGGTGGTAAAGTAACAAAACATGCTTTGCATGCACTGAATTCTGGACAAGGCAACAGAAGCTTCAACTGAATTAATTCAACTTTCCTTCAAGAACAAAAATTCTCTCCACCAAATTCCTCCCCTTGAACTTGTCTAGAAACAGGTGTAACTGGCCGCTTGGCTGAGGACCACCCTTCCTAATCGGACAGCTCTGGTTTTATAATGGCCCCCTATGGGAAGCTGGTTTCCTAAAACTCTGCCAGCTCAAGAAAAAAATGGCTCATCTCCTTCCTCTTTGAAATGACAGCTCTCCCGACCGCCAACTGTCACCCCTCCTCCGGCCACCCTCTCCCCCACCAGAAGCCCCTCCTGTCTGGGGGAGAAAGCCCACCCAACTCGCTCTGAGGCTGCATAGCCTTGGGCTCTCTCACCGGTGTGGACGCCACAGCCCATAGACGCCTGCAGCCCAGGCGTCTCGGTCTGACTGTGAACATCCCAGACGGGGCTTCATGAGCCACGTGGGTCGAAGCAGCTGAGAGGATTTGCAGGCAAAGACCTCACTCGGGGGGGCCCTGAACTTTGGTTACTGTAACTAGTGGTAATGTCCTATCCGTAGCTAATAATTTATTATGCAATTAGTTAAAATTGGTCTCCGGCCTTTTTCACACGAGCGATCTCAAGACAGGCCTTTCTCCGCAGTTTGAGCGGGGGGCTTTCGCGGAGCCTGGGAGTGTCGGCTCACTTCCCCCATCCTGTTGAGGTCTTTTAACTCCTGATTTTATAATTTAATGTGTTAATGATGCCACCCAGTCTCACTATAGTCACCAAAGTGATGGTCACTTGTCTGATGCTATTGTACGAACCAGACTTATTTTCGAATGTGACAGAGTTATAAAAATGAGCTGGCCACACCAGTCTTAGGTGGACAGTCATATATTAATCTCTCTTCTGGAAGCTCAAGGGAACTATTCTGGCTGTGCTGAGACTTTGACTTATTTTCTCCCTCAAACGATAATTAAAAGAAGTAGGTGTACATGTTTTTCAGCAGCCAAATCTGTAAAAATTTTGTTCCTGTACCTACAATATTATACTGTTTAGGAACTTTAAGGCAACATGACTGAATATGTTACCTTTGCCATGAAACAATCAGAAACATTTACTGATAATTATAACAGAGCTATCATTACTGGCATTGAAGGACACCTGAACAGACTCAGTGTTAGACCAGGATGGTCATTTAAAATTCATTTTCCTCACAGGGATGTACATACAGGTATGTAATTTTCCATAGTATTTCATTAATTGGCACCCAAAAGGCCAACTTGCATGCACAGTGGGTGAGTTTTACTGCTAAGATGATCAGTATTGTGGAAGTTCGTGTAGAGTTTAGACGACTGCGAAATACAGCTGCCGAAACGAAGCCCTAAGTCCGCCTCCTTGCTCTCCGCTTCCAGTGACGCCCATCGACCACGTGTACGGCACGCTGGGCATCGTGGGGGCCACCACCACGCAGCGCTACTCCGACATCTCCAAGCTGAGGGAGGAGATCGAAGGCAAAGGCTCCTTCACGTACTTCGCACCGAGTAACGACGCGTGGGACAACCTGGACCCTGTAATTCATCCTTCTTTCTAATACGATGATTGTGGCTGGTATTGTTACTTCGTTTTCATTGCTTGGTTAACTTGGAAGTTAACAGAAGTTTCGTTTTTTTGTGTTGTGCGTGTGTGAAGATGCATAAAAGGGTGAGTTTTAGAGGGTAAGGAGTAAATCATTTTAATGTATCCATAAATGAAATTACTTCCCAGTGCCTCATGGCCCAGGAAAAAAAGGGCCCGCCAAGAACGGAATGAATGAACACTTATTATTATTTGATTTTACTCCTTTTCTCTTTCCTTCTGGGCTCCGAAAAGGTACACGTAATTTTAATTGACATCTCTAGTGGAAAGGTAAGTTAAGCCTGGTGACATCTGAAATTTATTATGTTATATTATATAGGTATGCTTAATTATTATTTTAAGTATACGTGGGAATATTGGCTGTTCAGAGGTTGACAGATTTATAAACACACACGTGAATATTCAGATGAAGCATTGTAAACAGTGCCTCTGACTCTCATGTGTTGTGAATGGTCTGGTTTACAACGCACCAGGTTATGGGTGGACCCCCAAATCTGTGAAGCTGGCCTGGGGATCTACTTCCCTTTCTAGGTGATGTGAAGGTGAGTTGGTGACCGCCACCAGAGTCTGATAATGCCTGGTCAGACGTGGGCAGACTCTGGCGGACAGTGCCACGGTGTGTCCACAGTGCGTGGAACCACCAAGACACGGCTCCTGGTGGTGTCTGACCTCACCTCCCACGGCCCTTCCGTGCTGAAGGGCCGGCCGTAGGGAAGTCTGCCCGGGGGTCCACTTGGCTCTTTGCACAGACCTCCGATGACATGAGTGCTCACTTGGGGCAGTGACCCCGAAACCCGTGTTTCTTGGACTTGCTGTCCTTGGGTCCACGGGGGGGTATCTCTAATATCCACTGTCATGTCGCTCCTTGGGTACAGCTTTGTATCTTTAAACGAAAAGGTATCTGAAATATATGCCACTTTTTCTCCATAAACAACTGCTTTTCTGCTGGCTCCCACCGCCCCCCCCCCCCGCCCCGTAACTGACAGTGGGAATCTCAGTGTTCAGACTTGAAAACTCAGAGTCACCCCGCTGCTCTCTCTCCAGCTCTCCCCGACCACTCTTAGTCATCCACACTCTGTGCTTCCCAGTCTCCCTACCCTGTTTCTGCCCTGCGCCACCTCCCTGTCAACCTGCCCGAAGCCCAGTCTAAGTATCGTGACCTGAGGCCACGCCATCCCCGGTGGCTGCCACGGCCCGTTCAATCCGCACGTCACTCGGGCTCTAAAGCCGTACCTGTTACTGTCGCCCAGACTTCTCCCAACGTCTCTCTTAGGCTTCTCTGAGAAGCACGGAAGTGGGTGCGAGCCCCCCCGAGGGACACCTCTGCTCTCCTGCTCCGCCTGCTCCGCCGCTGGCCCTGGCCCGTCACCCCACCTCTCCCATCCCCGTGCCCCTCCGGGGCCCGTCCCCAAGCCTCCAAACGCTGGCCTTCCTCATTTGACCCCTGACATCATCGTTTCCTCCTCCTGCCCTTGACCTTGCAAAGTTCATGTTCACATGCTGCATGTGACCAGGATCTTCAGGGGGAGACTTCGCCTGACTTGTCGTTCCACGTCCCGTGGCTCTGTGCACCCTTCGCCACTGGAGAAGGAAGAGGGCGTTTGAATCTTAAATTTGCTTCTGAATGAACACAAAACCCTTGCTTAGATTCAAATACTGTAAACACATGAATGCTTTTTGTTCTATTGCTCACTACCATTTAAATATCTGATAATTCTCTATCCCCATAAGCCTTTACATTACATCAAGATAGTCACCTCATCAATACATGGATTTAAAGTTCGTTTCGTCTCTAAAAATGCCCCTGCACCCTACCAGATTCAGGACCTTAACTGAGCACCTGTGCCGACCAAATTCCTTAGTCGACTGAAGTACTATGAAATGAGTAATGCCGGTTTTGTTTGCCCAGCCGGCTGATGCAATGAGAAAGCAACGAGAGCAGAGATGGTGTAATTATCAGCCTATTAAGAATGAGCCACAATAAAATGAACCCTTGTCACTTTAATTTTTCCTAGGACATTCGCAGAGGTTTGGAGAGCAACGTGAACGTTGAGCTACTCAACGCTTTACACAGCCACATGGTCAACAAGAGGATGTTAACCAAGGACTTGAAGAACGGCATGATCGTGCCTTCGATGTACAACAATTTGGGACTTTTCATTAACCATTATCCTAATGGGGTAAGTTTCGTCAGGAACAGGGAGTGTCTGAGCAGCACTGCCCTCAGTCTCTCGGCGTTGTTGGTTGAACCACTGATTTCTACTAAAGAGTGATTGTGAGGGCTCAGTGAAATCGGCATAGACGCAGATGATCTAAGCGGGACATTTAGTAGCTATGTGTTTGAAAAAACAATAGCCAGAGAAAAATAATAAGTAAGAATTTATCAGAGAATTTATCAAAGAGTAGTCAGCGAATGAGAATTCCTGTCTTCAGCCTCTGGCTACTATACTGATGTAGGTTCTTGTGTGTTTGATAAGAATCCGTGTGTGAAAGCTACAAGTTCGTGGGGCTCCTTCAACAGCCCAGTGTCCAGGCACAGAGAGGGTCAACAGTTAGGACGGTATCGGGACAGGATTCATTATGTTTCTGCAGCGAGCGTTAGTTTTCCTCTCTCGGAACTTATTTTAGGGCTAGGGAGACTTTTTATGCAAGTTAGTACTCTACATTAGAAAGTTGCTTATTATCTTTATAAAAGAAAGAAAAGAATACAAGCAACAATCCAAATGAAAAAATTCTTCTGTCTTATGCTTTCCACATTCAGTGTAGCTGGACTGTGTTCTCCCCTGGCTCTGTTTTCTCATTTTTTTTACACACAGCAGTGCCTGGGTCCCCCCCCCCCCCCCGTAGCACTGGCATTCAGAACGCCCCTGCCTGCGGGTCCACCGCACCAGCACGGATCAAAAGTGGGGAACGGGCCGTGGTCCCTGTGGACGATGGGCAGCTCTGACCCCGCACTTTGATTCTCCCAAACGCTCCCAGGTCGTCACGGTGAACTGCGCACGCATCATCCACGGGAACCAGATCGCGACAAACGGCGTCGTGCACGTCATCGACCGCGTCCTCACGCAGATTGGCACCTCCATTCAAGACTTCATCGAGGCCGAAGACGACCTCTCGTCCTTCAGGGTGAGTGTCTTGGGCCGTTGCTCTTCCTTCTCGTCCCCTGCCCCGAAGTAACAACGATTAAATGCTGCTAAGAAAATCTGGCAGAAAGGCAATACAAAGGTTCTCATCTTACAGAGGAGACATCGCCTCCCCTGAAATCACATCTGTGTGGACAACAGACACAGGCATGGTTAGCGCTGTGGCCGTTGTGTACTTAGTGCGTTTAGAATGTGCCCGTCTTGGTGGCTGTATGTACGGCTGGATGGCGCCGTGCTCACCGCCTGAGAGATGGAACCGGAGCAGACTGCCCAGTAGGGCTCCGCAGAAGGGGCTCACCCCTGTCAGCCCCTGTCAGCCCCTGTCAGCCCCGGCCAGGCAGCTGTCCCCTGCGCCGGGGCCTGTGCTGCCCCCGCCTCTGAAAGTGCGTCTGTGTTCTAGGCGGCCGCCATCACCTCTGACGTCCTGGAAGCCCTCGGACGAGATGGTCACTTCACCCTCTTTGCCCCCACCAATGAGGCTTTTGAGAGACTTCCACGAGGGGTCCTGGAGAGGATCATGGGGGACAAGGTGGCTTCTGAAGGTACGAGAATGGTGTCCCACGTGAGAAGCTCCCCTAGATTTCAGGAGGAAGAGCGTCCCCGTGTTGTCGGCTTTCATAAGCAGAGACAAAGTTTGAGTTGGGCCATAAAATCTTAAAACACAAAGTCCTGGAAAGAATGTGCAGAGTCACTGAATAATTTAATAGTTCAAGTAATTAAAATCATAATTTCAAAAGATTGCTTGTTTGTGCTGTTCTCTAGTACATAAGTAGCCATGTTAAGAAGGAGTAGCAAGTATTGAAAAGAAATATCAGATGACCGGATTTTAATGCTGTGCACATATTACAAAATGCTCTTAGTTCCAAATTTACACCAAGGGTGTAACCGAGCTGAGAAAATTGCATGGTCCTCTCGGGCCATTTACTGATACACAAAATCGGGCTTCTTTCCAGTCTCCCTGTTTTCAGGTGGACTTTACATTGAGACTAGTGTATTTCTCTTACTCAGCCTATTCCAAGACACATTGAACTGAGCGAGGGGACACGTGTTGAAGGTGCGGATAGAATAGCACCAAATGGATCCCTTGAGATTTCTCGAAGGAAGCGTCTTTCTCTGGCTGCGTCCTAGGCGTCTTTGGGGAGCGAGCTGTCTGCTTGAGGCCTCTGTTCACCCCTCCACAAATTAGGTGCAGCTACGTTGTGATGAGGAGTGAGAGTGCGGGCGTTGAGGACCCGACAACTTTACAAGCTTTCTGCACAGAATATTTTGTTTGTTTGTTTTGGCCTCCACATCAGAAATTACTGTCTTAGAACAGTGGGAACTTGATCTAACACATTTTTTTGCAGTATTACACAAATCATTTTGTGCAACTGATCTACTGGACTGAGCTTTTTCTATTGCATAAATGATGAGAAACATTCCAAGAACTTGCACAGATGTTAAAAACCTTTGGTTGTTAAAAAAATTAAAAAGATAAAAGCCTTTGGTGGTTCCTGAGATGAGACGTGTGTCTTACGTTTTTAAGGAGCCTCGTTGTCACAGCAACACCCGTTTTGAAGGTCCAGGGCCAGTCCCCCTGACAGGGACGCGTTCTCGTTCTGCTCTGTCCCCAGCTCTCATGAAGTACCACATCTTAAACACACTCCAGTGCTCAGAGGCCATCATGGGAGGAGCGGTCTTTGAGACCCTGGAAGGGGACACCATTGAGATCGGGTGTGACGGGGACAGCATCACGGTGAACGGCATCAAAATGGTGAACAAGAAGGACATCGTGACGAACAATGGCGTCATCCATTTGATCGATCAGGTCCTCATTCCCAATGCTGGTGAGTGACAGTGTCCTGTCCTGCTTCCTCTTCTTTATCAATCAGGCCACCTCCAGATCAGGGCCACGAAAGACGGGCGGGCAGTGTGAGGAAGGGCGCACGGAACCCAGACGCAGAGTAAATAGGGAAGTGGGCTGGTTGCCCCGTTGGTAACCCGTGGGGCCCCGGCACCCCCTGTGGGGAACACTGGTGTCCTAGGGTTCCTATTACCTAATATTCATAAGGCTCCCACAGGGCCAAAGGTTTCTTAACTACGCAAGGAAAGATGTAACCAAACAGTCCTCTTCGAATAAATGAAAGAGTCGTGGTACTCACGAGAGTGGCGTGGAGAGGCAAGTAATAGAGATTCACCCAAAGTGGCACGTGAGGAGTCAGAAAGTCACCGGCCCCCTGAAATGCCGTGTGGCTGTGAACCCCCGAGAAGGGGGGCTGTGTTCGCCAGTGCAGCAAAGAGCTTCTAGACAACAGCCAAGAGTTGACGTACGAAGTTCACAGCGGTGATGATGGTAACCGCGACGCCTTTTGGGAACCCTGATGGTTTATTTTACAGCCAAGCAGGTCCTCGAGCTGGCGGGGAACCAGCAAACCACCTTCACAGACCTCGTGGCCCAGCTGGGCCTGGCGTCCTCGCTGCGGCCGGACAGGGAGTACACGCTGCTGGCCCCCGTGAACAGCGCCTTCTCCGGTAGGTGCTCCCCGCCCTGCCCGCTCTCTGCCCCCGCGTGCTCACGCCGCTTTGCTTCGCCGCGATTGTTTGCAACGAGAAATAATAGATACACTTTACAAGGTGTCGACTGGGTTTTGTATTGGCCATCTCTACCGTGTGTTAGCACAACACACTCTGTGAGAACGTCCTGCATTTCAAAGCGTTTTATTATAACATGTAATCGTGTACATGGAGTGAAAGTTGGTGATGAGGGATATGTACTTACTCTCTGGAGAAAACCACGTTACCAGCGCACATAATGTATTGTAAAAAAATAAATTTAACTTTGTTACTCAATGCCTACATTCACAGGTATGTTTTGCATCGCAGAATTTGACAGTAGGATGTTAAATTACAAATAAATAAAAACAGGAGAATATTCTACACTTCCATATTAAGATGTGAACTGTTATTATAAGTGTTTTACCTAGTAGCTGCTATTCAGGAACAGTGTCTAGATTAATGTAACCTGCTACGATTTCCAGAAAAGTGATTTTATTAAGACATATTTAAATCATGAGGCATAATTTAATAACTATAAAACAAGTACCACAAGTACCACCTGCTTTACAACTTTCCAAATGCCAAATTGTGACATAGGAATTATTCATAAAAAATTTAAATCCCTAGAAATGTTCTGCTCTTTGTAACAATGAGGTTCGTATGTGTTCACATGTACCCACCTTTAAGAGGTTGGGTGCTTTGATTTTTCTCTTCAGATATAAAGATAAATTTACAAATGATTCTTCTGTCATCTTTCATATGATTAATTGATCTCAAGTGCTCAGAAAAGTTCTTGGCCAGCGTTAGAGTTTATCTTGTGCCGGTGACCACATGAAATGCGCGTCCCTCACAGAACTGAAGCAGCCGTGTGCGCTGCACGGACTCCGGTGGGTCACTCGAAGGGACCGCTCACGGAGCCGCGGTGGGCACATAAAACCCATGGCCTTGAGCACTTAACCGACTCACATGCGATACGAGTGTAAGGTCCAGAATGTTGATGATGAGAATTGACCATTTTCCTGGATTTCTCCCACCAGGAGAAACTTGAATGCTTTCTAAATAAAATCATCTTTTCTTCTTAAAAACATATTCATAGATGACACTCTGCGCATGGATCAGCGGCTTCTGAAGTTAATTCTGCAGAATCACATACTGAAAGTGAAAGTCGGCCTTAACGAGCTTTACAATGGGCAGAAGCTCGAGACCATTGGAGGCAAACAGCTCCGAGTCTTCGTGTATCGAACGGTAAGTGAACCGGAAGGTCACGAAATACCTACGTTGGCCTGAATGTCAATGGCATTTGTCAAAGAACATTGTTACAGCAAAGGTTTCCCACAATTTTTTATGAAGTGTTAACAATTAATACGCATCAAGAGATTGGGAAACTGAGTAACATGTGCAAAGGCAGAAACTTACATAAGATTTTTGTGTGTTAATAATTCAGAAAGTCTGAACTTGGTTCATTATACATAACTTTGTTATAAAGCATTAATTATTTCGATTCCGGAAATCACCAAAACTTCCCTAAAGTAAGCTGCTTCTTATCTTAAGTAGAGCTGGCATACAGATCAGTTCTAGGTGTACAATACGGAGATTTGACGTTCCACACCTTGCAGTGTGGTGACCACACTACGTCCGGTGACCGTCCGTCACTGGGCAAACTGCCGACCGCATTACTGACTGTGTTCCCCTCCACATTTTTCATCCGTCCTCCCACCCCTGACCCTTCCAGAAACCATCAGTTTTATCCTTATTTCTATGAGTCAATCTTGTTGACAAGATTGTTCCATGAGCAACCCAGAAGAGGGGTTGCTGGGTCATATGATACCTCTATGCTTAATTTTTTGAGTTTTTGATAGTAGCCATTGGACTGGTGTGAGGTGGTATCTCATTGTGGTTTTGACTTGCATTTGCCTGATGAGTAGTGATGTTGAACACCTTTTCATGCATCTGTCGGCCATTTGGATGTTGGTTTCTAGAGTTTGTTACAGTTTACAAGGTAATTTTTATAGAGAATCAAATTTGCAGGATGGTCTTTTACTGCAAGATCACAGTTCAGCAACTGAATCTCTTTTAAATGATGTTCAAGATAAACTTTTACAATCACATAAAGATCTCTGAACTGTATAAAACAGTCCTAATGTACTTTATCTGAGGAAAGCACTTTAGGAAATAGCGCTTGTCAGAATCACAGTGGGACCCACGGTGCTGTTGGGCTTCGGTCCCGGAATCACATGCAGCCCTGGCCCGAGTGTCCCTCAGGAGGTCCAGCGTCACCTACAACTGCATGGGACATGGATGCTCTCTCTCCGGCCCCACAATTCCAAGGAACATGTTAAAGGGTGCAGAAAATGGGCTGCAGTCTTGATCATACAAATACCTTTATCTGTTTAAAAGTACTATAACTAAATCATTCCGTCTCTAACTGATGGGATCTCACAATCAAGAAAATATAGTCAATATTTCTGAAGACCGCAAGAGAAACTGAAGTCAGGAAACTTCTGGTTAAAGGAGGTCCTGAGAGTTGACTTTCCCTAAGAGCATTGGGGAGATGGTTGAGAGTGAGGAGAAAAGGTGGAAAATGTAAAAGTGGAATGCTAGGAGCTTTTGTTACTCACACAAATACCTGCCTGACACTCAGGGGAGTTGACAAGTGACAGAGGTCCTGGTGGAATAAGAAGTGTGACGTCAGGGTGTGCGAGATCTTGGAAACAGGACAGAGGTGCTTGTTCCGGCTGCAGAGGTCCGCCTTCCTCCTAGAAGGGTCGAGCCAGACAGTTAGTTGATTTCCACAGAGGAAATTTCGAACCAGGAAATGGAGCCGTGGCTTTCTCTCGTTGGCCAGGCCGTCTGCATTGAGAATTCCTGCATGGTGAGAGGCAGCAAGCAAGGCAGGAACGGCGCCATCCACATATTCCGAGAGATCATCAAGCCTGCGGATAAGTCCCTCCACGAGAGACTGAAGCAGGACAAGCGCTTTAGGTGAGTGCGGTGCGCCTCCCTGCTCCGGCGTGCGCGTGCGTCCCAGGGTTCCAAACAGCTGTCGGCGTTCAGTCCTGCTGAGAAGAGAATTTGGAATAGGGGCTCTAGGCACGTGTTTCCAAAACTAAAATATGTTCTCCACGCTATTTTGCTTCCTGGTGCACCGTAGTATAATTCAATGAATGAAAAAAATTAATCTTATGAATTGAACTACTCTTTACAAGTTATTTATAATTAAGTTTTTAACATGATAACATATACTAACAAAGGCTATTTTGTGGAATAGTAAATGAGAAAAAGAACCATGTTGTTTATTTGTTATGAAGTGTGACTTTGTTAAGGTTTAGAGGATAAAAAAAAACAGAGTTTAGGAAACGTTAAAAAGCATTATGAACATTTAAATTACTTCCTTATGAGAAAACTTTCTAAACAGATAAATGGCGTTTGAAACATGTGAAAGCGTACAAACTCTTTCCTCATGCTCCCGCAATACATGGAAGGCCCCCGATTCCGCGCATGCGGTGAGCGCACCGTAGCCAAGTCTGAACCTAACCAAACGGCCGTGTGTCCTCTCCCTGCAGCGCCTTCCTCAGCCTTCTAGAAGCTGCAGACTTGAAAGAACTCCTGACGCAGCCTGGGGATTGGACTTTATTTGTGCCAACCAACGACGCCTTTAAGGGCATGACCAACGAAGAGAAGGAGGTCCTGATCCGTGAGTCGGGGTGAACCCCACGTCCGCCCCGAGGTTTCAGGGGCTCATCAGGCTCAGCCCCAGAAAGGCCTCCTTCATATTCCTGCCTGGCCTTAGTTTCCTTTGACTTCACTTAGGCTGCGTGGAGGGTCCCTCGTCCATGCTCTCGGTTACCTGTGTATATTGTCACGTTGCTGAGATAGGTGTTCACTTAGGTTATGAATTGATGTTGACTTGAGAGGATGGTGTGGAAATCTCTTTAGTCTCCAGAGTGTCCAAAGGTCAAAAAGAAAGATGGCATGTTATTAAATAAATACATTTCCCCCCAGGCAACAAAAATGCCCTCCAAAACATTATCCTTTACCACCTAACGCCCGGAGTTTTCATCGGAAAGGGGTTCGAGCCCGGCGTCACTAACATTCTCAAGACCACGCAGGGGAGCAAAATCTACCTGAAGGGGGTAAGTGCGCCGGAAGGGGTTCCGGGAAGCGCCCGCTCGTCATCTGCCCACCGTGTCGCCCCTTTTCCACCGAACTTCTCCCCGGCCTTGTCCCCTGTCCTGACAGGTGAACGACACGCTGCTGGTGAATGAACTGAAATCCAAGGAGTCCGACATCATGACCACGAACGGCGTCATTCACGTCGTGGATCAGCTCCTCTACCCCGCAGGTTGGTGACCCCTGGGTTTGATCACAGACTCGGTCTTGTCAGGCAGAGACCCAGATTTTTATTTCACACATTCATGCCAACGTTTTTTGATATTCCTCTTCACAGACACGCCTATTGGGAATGATCAGCTGCTGGAAATACTTAATAAACTGATCAAATACATCCAAATTAAGGTACGAAATATCACTGGATTTATTTATAGCGTGTTGAACGTAAGATACTAGAAATACGCACACTAGTGAGGAGACAGGCCCTAGGCTTGGGTTGCTTTCTATTGGTTACGCGCCGCTCATGAAGAAATGCCAGAAATGTTTTAGGATTTTATTCAACAAACATCTACTAAAATCTCCTTGAGGCCAAACAGTGTATTGAATGCTATGTGAAATTTGAAGCTGAATCAGATATGGCTCTTTTATCAAAAAAGTTTACAGCCCAGTGGAGCGGATAAGACATGGACATAAAAAATACAATTTACCTGTCCTCAGTTGTCTTTGCTACTGAATATATAAAAAAGATGAAACACTAGTTGTCACTAATCACAATAGGCAAAGGCATATTTTGCCTCTTTATATTTGTAGGGTCAAAGGGCCAGAAAGCATGTGAGATATTACTTTATAAATCCCTTCATCTTTGGATGAACTATTCTATAAGTTTGGGGAGGAACCAATCCAGTAATTTGTAGGCCATCTCGCTCGTAGCGGGAAACCGGAAGCTGATGTGCGGGAAGACCTCATCCCTGTTCAGTGTGATGAGAGCTTCGCTTTGTCCACTTCAGTAAGAATTAAAGCAGTGGCGTGATTTTGCCACTAAACCACTACGTTTCCTGTTACTAAGTCTAAGTGTTTCTTTTCAGTTTGTTCGTGGAAGCACCTTCAAAGAAATCCCCATGACCGTCTACAGTAAGTACACAGTGAATATTTATCTGTCCCATAGAGGAAAAAACTTTTTAAAAAAGTACAGTTTTTGTATTTCCACATGGAGGCTATTGATAATCTGGTATGTAGATTCCAAACAGTGGCCATTTCAACCGCACTTGAAACAGGACTTGAGGTCAAAGACGAGACCTCTCGGCCTGAGCTGGTCCTTCCAGCTCCTCTTCGGCTCTTGCCCCGAAGCGGGGGTGATAAGACACAGGAAGGGCAGGGAGCCTGGCGAGGGGCAGAAGGGGCCAGACAGACAGGAGAGGGAAGAGGTGGCTGCGAGCTCAGGCGGTGCGGGCGCAGAAGCACCACGGCCTCCAGCCCGCAGTCCCCAAGGCAGGGCGGGTCACAGTGGGCCAAAGACTCCCGGTGTTGATGAGCCAGCCGGTGGATAAAACACCTTCCCCATCCGAAACCGGACCGGGGGTGAAAAACCGGCCAGGCGGTGAACGTCAGCTCTCCAGATCCGAGGGCGTTTTTCCCCCCCGACTCTGCCAGATGATCAAAACCAGACCTGCACTAAACAAGCAGAAAGGGTGTTTCGTTCTCACAGACATAACTTCTCCTTCTTTTCAATGCGATGTTCTTCCTTTGTATTTCTTTCTTTCTTTCTTTCTTATAGCTTTCAGAGCAGAAATTCTTTTCATTTTGTTTTGGCTCTACAAAGAGATGCTCAAAATGTTAGAGCAGCTAACACAAGACTTCAGTTCCCCCATTGAACCTGGGTAGAAATTTATTCCGTTTTGTGCCGTGAGCATCTGCCACTGAACTCAGAAAATCTCCCTTCAGACTCACACTAGGTGCGGAAAGGAAGCGGAGACAATGTGAGGAGCAAAGCGAAGTGTTTGCCGCACCCGCTGATTTCTGTTATTAACAATCACATGTGCAAATCCAGTATCGAGCCAGCTCCGCCTTGTCTTAAAGACTCAGTGGGAATAGTCATGACTCGGCGGGGTGCACGTTTCAGGTGGAAGCGCGAGGTGTCGTCCGGGTGTGCGTCCCAGGAGACTGACACTTCCTTGTGGGCTCTATCCCTGGGAGTGCAGTGTGCCATCTCTCTCCACCGAGGGTGCAGGTAGAGCTGCCCCACGTCACTTTGCTCATCCTGCTTCGTCCGGGGGAGGTTCACCGCTTGCCCCCTCTATCTATGCAATATCTGGCGTACGCCGAGCCAGCATCTGTCCCTCCTTCCTTTCCCTGGGCTGCACCTGGGTCCTCACTCACAGAGGACCCCGCACTTGATGAAATCATGCCAGGCTGGTGGGTGTCGCCTCCCCACTCAGAGCCCTGGGGACAGAGCTGAGGTTCACACGATGATGCAGATGTTTCAGTCTGCCCCGCGTAGGGACGCTGTATTTAGATGTGTTCTTTAAACAGGTGGAGACTAATGACACTGAAGGTTTCATTTTTATGTTTCTTTATTGACTGGTCTATAACATTTCTTTAATTTCCTTGCTATATATTATTCTTGTCCCCCAAATGCCATACATTTAAAACATTTTTTTGTGGGAGGATCCCCTTTAGCTGCACTGTCAAACACAACATTTGCAGCAAAGAGAAACGAAGTCACTACTGAATCCCCAGCGGGTGACCTGTCAGAACTGTTTCAGTCTTCCGAAAAGCAGCACTGAAACAAAACTAACACCCAGCCGAACGCCCTAAACTTCCAACTCTTTAACCTGAAGTAAACACTGAAGATACAAGTAATTAACCCATTTTGATAGTAGCAGCGGATCTGGATGCTGGATCTGACCCTCACGGACAGGTTTGTCTGGGGGGGACCGCCCGGGAAATGAGGCAAGGGACGCGCAGGTCGGAGGTAGCTTAGAGCTCTGTCGCTTGAGATTTCAAGACAGAAAATCTGAAATAAGTGAGCCATGGCCGCACGTCAGGCCTAGAACCCATCGTAACTCAAAAGCTGACACAACTGAGCATCTCGGAAACCCGAGGTGAGCGTGCGACAGAAACCCGAACTGTGCAGTGCGCCCCTCTCACACACCCGCACAACCTGCCACGGCGGCTCCGGCAGCTTGGGTGTGGCCTGCTCCCTGCTGGCGCCATCTTTAAAGAGCCAGTAGCTCTACGGCCCCTTTATTGTTTAATCTGCACGAGCAAAAGCCAACCACAGAGCTGGCTGCTCTCTCAGGTGGGAGGATGACATACATTCAAAATACACACCTGTACATTTTTTAGAAAGGTGATGATGCTAAGACTACAAACTAAAAACCAACTGTAGCTTAAATTATTAATCACATTATGTTTGTTGCATAGCGCTCATATCCGGCTGGCTGAGATTTACTTTTACTATTCAGTACAGTGAACTATTTTTCATATTTTCCTCTCTAGATGACTGTTGTAAAATGCATGGAAAATATTTTGTCTTTTTCTTTTATTTTTTTCTACTTGAGAAAGAATTTTACAATGCAATTTGAGATATTATGAATTGCATGACATTAATCGTGTTTGTCTTCTGTTGCTATGCAGCCAATATTTTCAAGGAGTGCAAATGAAGGTAAAGAGCTTTAGTGGTGCAGTTTGAAACGATAGATTTCTAGGTAGACTTCCTCACTCAGTGAGTCTTTATTTCGTGGGAGCACACCCGAGTCGCTGGACCTCAGACAGTCCCCCTCCTGGACACGAGAAGACACTCTTAGCTAAGGGGCCACGGGTATTTCCTCCACCTGCTGCCTGAACGTATTACTGTGTACGACACCTCGGTTCTCAGTAAAGACAAAACAAAACAAAAAAAGAACAGTTTCATTCAGGTTGTGCTTTTTTAAAATTTTTATGTAAACATCATTCATGTTCCACTTTCTATACTTTCAGCAACTAAAATTATAACCAAAGTTGTGGAACCAAAAATTAAAGTGATTGAAGGCAGTCTTCAGCCTATTATCAAAACTGAAGGTAAAAATCAATGTCGTACATGGTTCCTCTTACTGGGAAAAACGCCATGTAATGGACTGATTCCTATGAACGTGCCTACATTCCTTTTGAAACTAACATGCTCAGTATTTCCATACCGATGGCATGCCTGCGTTATGGAAGAGCACGGAATGCAGATTACCTGGCAGAGTACATGCTGCCACTCTAACAGCTTCAGTACATTTGCTTGTTCTGTATGAGGAAGCCACTGGGCTTCCGATGAACCGGATTGGCTGCTGTGGTGGCACCGAGACCCAGCTGCTCAGTAAAGAAGTCAACCCCGGGCGTTTCTGCTGCGGTCAGTCCCCTTCGGAGAGGACACTCTTCTTGTAGCTGTATCTCCCACCCCCACCTGGGTCTCTTGTACTGTTACAAGAAGTTCTTCCAAAGAGCGCAGGTGTTTTTCAACCAACTTAACAGAGCGCAGAAGCTGCATATCAATGAAATCTTTTAAAGCTACGCCCAGGATATATTTTGAAATCAGACGAGCAGAAACAGATTAGGGAGTAAATCGCTGGTGCAGTGAGTCCAACCTTAGAAACCTTCATTCCAGCCCTGAACCTATGTATGTGGGCACATACATATTCTTATCGACCATACGTATAGTTGCCTAACCCAATATATTGGGTTAAACGCCTCTCCTGGTTGTTCTCCCACCAGCACGGTACACACCACTTTCCTCTTGCCCCTGCCGTCTATGTCAGCCATTCCTAACATCCTTGATGCCTCCTTCGCTTCATGTATTTTCACCAGATCTCAAAAACGTTTATTTCCACGTGTGCACACCTTAACACAGTGACTGGACAGACACCTTGGTAGCCACTGGTCACTGTCTAGCTCTAAAATGTCCCTGGCATTTCCTTCTTGTTGTTTCAGTTTTTGCAGATTTATTGACGTCCCACTAAATAGATTAGACTGCAAGGCACAATTGTGAGATGCTTCTTACTTTTAAAAAAATGATATTTAACCAAATTCTTGCATGAAGGATAAATCACCATCTGCCCAATTCAGCACATGCTGGTTGCTCAGCCCCAGTGCCTGCGACCCTCCCAGAGGCTGGGGGTCAGTACAAAAACCCATTTTTTTGATGGAAGACCTATGCCTTCTGAGAGCTTAACTGCAGAGGATATTTCTGAAATATCAGCTTAGGTTCTTTTAAAGAAATGTTAGCTTGAATAATTTGTTCACTCGCTTCCTGCGCTTCAACTTTTTGAGCAGACTTTCCTTTTGAAATATCGATGCCTCAAAATCCTGGCCTTATGTTTTCATAGTTGGCGTCCTCTGCCATGGACCCAAGGGCATGGTGTGGGACCCTTCTTGTTTGAAAGAATTATATTTTTGCTTTCATTATTCTAAGTTGTTCAGACTTTAATTCTGGGTACTTGGCGGTTTCTGAGCAGACACATCTCTCAAAGGCAAACACATGTACTTGCCTTCACGTTGAAGGTCATTGCAGTACGAGTTAAATGTACTGAACCGTATTTTTCTCCTCCTCTGTGAAGCAGTCTTGACTAATGTCATAGTCAGCTTTCTAACATTCAAAATGATTTTCTGTGGGAGCGAAATCATTTTGCCCATCAAATGCAACACGTTTGTTTGCATTTGAAGGACCGCCTATTACATAGTAAACGTTTTGCATCATTTGCATGTGGAAGGTAAGTACTCAAATTCGTTTTCCTGTAAAAATAGAAATTCAGTATCTTAAACTTAGGCATAAACTAGGCATAAAGTTGGGACTTTTAAATGTTCACTCTTATGCCCGTGAAATTAAAAGGTGTAAGATACTATAATTAAAATTGAATTATAATTTTAATAAGGAAGGAGTGATGGACAGTCCCAGAATGGCAGAGACCCACATGACCCATCGTTAGAGGAACGCAAATCTGTACCTACTCTGTGACTCGCGAAGTGTAGTCACGCATACTTCGTGTGATCATAATTCCCAGCTGTGAACCTATGGCTGGATTTACATATCAATCCAAATGCTACTGAAGAAGAAAGTAATTTTAGTAGCACCCCCAAAGGCTGCATCAATTTTTCCCCATAAATATTGCCTACTTTGAAGACAATGGGAATGTTTAAGACTGAAATCTTAAAGCCTGAGTCCGCTTTCACGTCCGAGGGACGTCCCCGTGGAACCAAACTCCCCCTCCGGGCAAACTGAAAGGACCGCGTTAACCTTGATTTGTCCCCACAACAATGTCGCAGGACCCACCATAACCAGGGTGAGCCTTGACGGGGAACCCGAATTCAGGCTGATTAAAGAAGGTGAAGCAGTAACGGAAATCATCCACGGAGGTGTGTTTGTGCAAGGTTTCTAGCTGATGATAGCGCTGGTTTCAATATATTCCCCACCTGATGTGTTGCCCTGCCTTTGGTTTTGCATAAATTGTGGGGGTACCTTTCTCTGTTACGGGTTCTTACGAGCCCATCCAATCAGATCCAGTTCACCTACAGCGGGTCTGGTAGGAACTCATTTAACTGCTGAGTCACCGGGCCCAACAACACTGCCATCGCCCTGCACACCCAGTCACGATGATGGAACAGAATGATGACAATAATGTCGGCACGAGGACATGGCGGATTTAGAAGAAGTGGCCGCCAGTGTTAGAGTAACACGGAAGCCACCGTGGGGATGACCACAGGGCTCCATCCCAGCATCTCGGGCTCCTCCCTGGATCCGCCCTGACTGCCCAGCCCACAGGGGTCAGGCAGGACACACACGTGACCTGGAGCGTTAGCGCTGCTTGGCCTTGACTTCCCCCCGGAGCCGGGACACGAGGACTAGCGTTTAGACCCCTGCCGATCAGAATGTATTACAATTAGATCCTAAATGGTATTGTTTGAGAGACACATTTTCTCAGGAAAACGTCTGGCTGTGGCGGTTTAGCCACCGTAAGAGGTAAATTAAACACATTTTTCTTCCCCCGCTTTCAGAGCCAATTATCAAAAAATACACCAAAATCATTGACGGCGTGCCCATGGAAATCACGGAAAAGGAGACAAGGGAAGAGCGGATCATTACAGGTGACCCTCCGTCCCGTCCGCGGGGCCCTCCCCCGCCCGGCCGGGTTCTGAACATCGGACCAGGGCGGTTGCCCAGGCAACTTCCTTTCTTTTCTGGCAGACGTAATATTATTCTGATTGTGCGATCTCTGCTGTTCTGCTGAGTTGGGAACTTACAGACAACTCTAGAAGCATTTGTTTTTATCATGTGTGTGGTACACACAGTGTATAACACACTATTGCGTCCTAGAATGAAAACCATCCCCCCCTTTGGTTTTCCATTAATCTTAACGTCTGCACACCCACGTACCAACAGAGAGGCAAGTTTGTACAAAAGCCATTCATTTCAGAAAACCCTGGTATCTAGTCCCCCACCAAGAAATTAGCCTAAAATTCTGGACACAGCTACTCCATAAATATTATCATATTTAAAGGTTTAGACGAGCAGTCAGCAACTGTGGCCCACGCCACCTACTTGGCTCCACCGCGTGGCGTGCGGAGTGTCCGCTCCTTTCTCCGACGCCCGCGGCTGTTTTCACAGCACAGCGACCAGGCCGAACGGGTGCCACGCAGGCCGCGTCGCCCGCGTCACTGCTGGCTCTTCACAGAGGCGGTCTGCCTGCCCCTGGTTCAGACTTTCTTTTTTGTCTTTGCTTCAGGCCCTGAAATAAAATACACCAGGATCACTACTGGTGGCGAAGAAACAACGCTGAAGAAATTGTTGCAGGAAGGTGAGCACGCGGTAAAACGAGACCGCGACTTGCCCTCGGCTCTCGGTGTCAGAGTCTACTAAGCTCGGAGACCTCAGGCATGTTTGCTTCTGTCTGTCACCTCGTTGTCTAAGTTCCATAGCAACACGAGGAAAAATATAAACATACGAACGAAAGCCCTGTTGATTGTCATGTTACACAGGGTCCAGCACATAGTGCCCCTTCTTTATTACATACGATCTCATAGTTCAAAGTCACAAGTGTGTCATTCTGTAACGTAACACTATCACACTCCAGCACACCATGTGACATGGAAGTGAGATGTTCACATCGCTGTCCATCTCGTGGGAGACATTCACGTACCCGACCAACCACACGCAATGGCGTTACTTCTGCTGGACCCTGTATTAGTTGTATGTGGTTCAACAGCTTCATGGGAAAATTGGTTTATCAAAAAAAAAAAAGCACTCATCCTGGCCAGGTGGCTCAGTTGGTTGGAGTGTCATCCTGTACGTGAAGAGGCTGTGGGTTCAATACCTGGTCCGGGCACAAGTGCGAAGCAGGCGATCAACGTCTCTCTATCAATGCGTCAATGTGTCTGTCTCCCATCAGCGTCTGTCTCTCCCTCTCTCCCTCTCCCCCTCTCCCCCTCTCTCTCTTTCCTCTTCTCCCCTAGTGCTTCCTCTCTCTCTAAAATCAATGGCCATGTCCTCGGGTGAGGACCGTTTAAAAAGCACTCAACACTGGGGAAGAACCAGGTCCGGCCTTCGTTGCTGGGCAGCTGTGCTGTCCATCACATCGCATCTCCTGTCTTTTCATTACATAAACCAACCTCTGCTATAAATGTGTATCCTCTCAGAGGTCACCAAAGTCACCAAACTCATTGAAGGGGGTGATGGCCACTTATTTGAAGATGAAGAAATTAAAAGACTGCTTCAGGGAGGTTAGTAGAAGGGAAACAACTAACCTGTTAACAGGTCTGTGACCGAGTTCTTCAACTTTTTAAAGACTGCGCGTTCGTGATCTCTTTCTTTAAGTTGGCGTCCTGTGTTGTCTTAACAGATGGATTAGTCCGATGGCGGCTTCACTAATATGTGTAAGGAAATGATTAGTAATTTGAGCAGTCTTTAAAAAGTACGGCGTCAACTTGGGGAGCACTGAATATTTTTTTGCTTTGGTCACATAATTGTAAGGCTATTTTAAGAATGTGAAAGGGGGAAACTTTTTACACTGGTAATGATTTAAACAAACCCAAATCGACATACTTTTTATATTTTTCAAAAATGTATTCACTGCCCCCACAACAATAATAAGAGGCATGTTTACGGGATCCTTAAGCTCGTAGAGCTAGAAGCAGCAGTGCATTGATTAATTTTCTGTTCTTGGGAATGAGTACATGTTCCGTCTAACAGCTGAATGATAATCTGGACCTGGAAATGTCAATTATTTTGCATATGAAATTAATCTTAAAGTACGGAATGTTCTCTGGAATGTTCTGTCTGTGGCATTAAAAGGACCTTCTTCTAAATGCAAAAGAGAAAAAAAAGAATTCAAAACCCTATGCAAATTCTAAATGGCCATTATTTGAAGAAACAGTAAATGTTATAAATATAATTTGGATAATTTTTATTTGAATAAATGAATTTGTAGTTTGTTTTGTTAATGATGGAATTATTTAAATCACACCTTGTTTTAGAGACACAAGTATTTAAATTACATAGAAGAATTAAATAGTCTTCTTTAATATACTATGAATTGAGATAACACAAAGTTTAGTATTTATCCAAAGTGTGGTCCAGATGGTTTTTCTACTTAAAATTTTAAAAACTATCAGTCTAAGAAAATATAAACTGTTTTCTCGGGACCATGTGTAACCACTGTTTCTTTATTCATTATTTTACACGGAGAAAATCTCTGGTGTAGTGTTTCAACTGTTCATCAGTAGTAACCATAAATATTTTTTATTCAACCAACGATTGACTTTCCCTCAATGGAAAGATGTGTGTCTGAAATCTACGAGATTTCCTTCCGACCTGCAGGGAGTATTTGCCCAGCCAAAGCTCTAATGGAACCAAAGGTTCCCGTCTCCAAGTTCTAATACAGAATTCACTCACCCACCTCCAAATGCTTAATGCTCTGTGAAAAAATGTGAATTTGAGGGAAGAGGTGAAGACATCATGAAGATTAAATTGAATTCTTTTTTTTTTAGTCCTTGCCACATCAAGCAGCTTTGTAGAACAAAAGTAGTGCTTTTTAGAGAATGCATCGGTTAGTAGCTAAAGCTGTGTATATTGCTTTAATTTATTTAAGCTTAAACTTCAGGTAAGTATGTTTTTTTCCCATGAATAAACTCCCATTCACAAGTCCGTGATAAACAGCGAACTAAGTACTTAAGAACTGCTTTAGCCAAGAGAAGAAGATAAACCTGTTACGAGCTAAGAATATGGTCTTATAATTTTAGTTACTAGATTTTCCCTAAACATGTTTCTGTTTAGTGCAGAGACTAGTTCCCTTGGCTCCCAGTGTCTAGTTTCTCCATGAATCTGCAAAGTATCGCCTTCCACACTGCCACAACCTTGAGTTTTTATCAAAACATTTCCAAAGCTGTTCTGCTTAGCAGAGTGGTCAGTGTGGCTACGTGTTTCCAGATGTGGACCAGACGTGCTAACACGCTCTCCATCCCTGCCAGATCCTTGCCCTGTCCCTGAGTTGCATGACTTCTTGCCTAGTTCTCACCAGACACTGATTTACAAAGAGGTTCATGTGCATGAAAATCACATCACGCAAGGCTGACTTTTCTTCCTTTGAGAGAACAGATAATAGACCTCTGTCCCAGCTGTGGTTTTTATCTCCAAGCTTGGAGTTTTCTGTCAGAACTGCATGCATTGTGGTACATCTAGTGCCTTTTGGTGAACTGAGTACATTGCCCAGTCACTTAAGTCACTAGGGACTAAGGGGTCCTTTTGCTGCTAACATTGTAATTTGTCACTCAGGAGCCTCAGAGCCCTGAACTGGAAAATGTCCTCATGAAATGTGTCAAAATCTTTATTCTTATCTCAGGTAGAACTGCATTTACCAAAACTACTAAAGTAATTAAGGAAGAAGATAGAGAAAGGAACCAGAAAAAGTCACAGGGGTTTTGACAAATCTGCCTGTGTAACCCGTAAAGATTCATGGCCTTTTTGAGAGCAGGGGGTCAGGTTGTAGATCTGACTCCCGGTCTGGGCTCTGACTCAAACTAACTTAAATAGCTGATGCTGTTTTGCCCTGGTTCCTTCTTCTGAAAGTCGGGGGTGGCCATGCCCCCAGCATCTGGAGGGGCTAATAAATGGAAAGGGTTTGGAGTAAGGCCAGGCACATGGAAGCTCCCAGTTGCGTCAGCTCTTATCAGTATTTTGGTCAATTAACACTAATCTGATCAGTATAGCAGTATTTTCCTCCCTGTTTTAAATTTCCGAAGCAATAGTCACATAAAAACGAAAATCCTGCCCATAGTTGAGCCACGCGCTCTGCCTGTTTCGCGGGACACGAGGCGGAGAAGGCGCCTGTGCCGGGCCGTGTGTGTGTGTGTGAGGCGGCGCGTCGCCCACACTTCGGTCTCCACCACGCCCGGAAACCGCCCGAGTAGGGACGAGAGCCGCTCTCCCCACAGATGGGGACGATGCTTCTGCTGAACTTTATATAATGTGAAGCATCCCTTCATCGTAAAGACAAGGTTTTTCCAGAAAGGGTGAAAAAAATCATCTAAGATCCTTGCTGGGTGCGAGAGTGGCGTGTGATCTGGGCCCCAAATGCTGAAGCGAGTTGCTTCGCAAACACCAAACACTCACGGTGAGGTGTGGAAGCAAGTTTCCCGTGTGTCTGTCCCCGGTGCAGAGGTGTCCCGGATACACGGTGCCCTAGTCCAGAAGAAAATCTGCACTGTCACGTGCGGTTTGTGCAAAACTTGCTACTTGTCCACTTGACCGTGGTCTCCTGTCTGAAGTCAGCCACGATTTCAAAGTTTTTCTAATCACAACTGTTTACTTTTAGACACACCTGTGAGGAAGTTACAAGCCAACAGAAAAGTTCAAGGTAAATTCAGTGACTCTAATGATGTGCGTGTGTGTGTGACGTGTGTGGCCATGTCGAGAAGAGAAGCGAGCTTGGCATATTTTATAGACTTGGTTGTCCGACAGAGAGAGATGTTAGCCAGCGTGGTGACAGAGTGCTTTGATGACAAGAAGAAAGTGAATTGTTCATGGTCTGCACTGTTAGTAAAATCGAAGCACGGTGAATATTGAGAAGAAAGCGCTTCTACTCACCTAAATGCATCTACTCATCTAAAGTGCTTGATGCATAAAATCTTAAGTCGAGTTAATGTGAAAACACATCCTTAAATATCAGAGCGGAGCAAAAGTGAGTGGAGGCCAGATGCCCTGAACGGGGCTGTTGAGATGGGTCTGCAGCGCGAAGCCTGAACACGGTGCACGTACGGGAGACCGTTAGTGTAACTACGCACGAGAGTTTGGTGCAATGTGTGCATCACATATATGTGCCTGCCACCCATTCACCATAATGCTCTTCACGACTATGTTTACGTGTATTTCCTCCACTTCTAATTAGGTTCCCTCACATTCTGATACGTTCGAAAATCAAAGATTCTCCTTGTGGAATTTAGAATAAATGACAAATTGGGAATTTCTAGAATAATTACATCCCAATAGTCTGAAGAAGTTGCAAGTCTTAGAAATGCATTATGGGCACATCTGATTGGCAACTAATCCAAAACAGACATTTGAAATTAAGTGGTGAATTTTTAATGAAGAATTTATTGGGAATTTAAATTTTCTCAGGAACCAAAATGATCATGTTAAATGATCATTTTCATATACCTTTAAACAAAGGATAACCTTGATTTCATCATCAGAAAGGAAGGATATTATTAAGAAAGTATCCTCTGAAGTCTGTTACAGTAAGAAAAATGGTGTTTTATAGATAAAGGTATGCATAGAATAGCCTGTCGTTGAAGATTCGTTGCATACGCAACCTGGCGTCCTCCCTCCTTCCTCCTCAGGGTCCAGAAGACGATCGAGGGAAAGCAAGTCTCAGTGAGCATCCAGACCAGAAAGCATCGTTTCCACACCCCTGCCCCTGACCCTACGGGAAGATGACAAGCAAGTGCCACAGTGACTTCAGGAAACAAACCAGCACCCCCCAAAACAATCACCGACCAGCGTTGAAACTTCATTTCTGTTTGAATGCAGAGCAGGAGGGGAGTTGTGGGTCAGCCTCCTGTGGGTGGGAACTGAGAGAATTAGAACGCATTTCAGACTTCTACGGCTTGACATTAAAGATCTGGCCGACTTTGCGACCCTTCCGAGAAAACCCCTCCGCAGCCTCCTTACAGTTCAGTCTCCGGGTGCAGGCTGCGTCCCCTTCAGAAGACGGAGCCTTGAGTTGATTGAGTGGGTATAAAAAATGCAGGCGATCAGCCACCCCACTCCCCCATGGAAAGCTAAGTTATGGAAAAGGGTGCTCAAGTAAAAAAAAAACATATACAACTTTTACATCAAAAGGTTTTGCACATTTCTAATGCAATGTGGGTTTACCGGTAAATTATGCTATTTCTACAACTCATTTTGTACTCTTGAATGTTTGTCATATGCTTACTGCAATGCCTATTTTTATCTCAGACATTCCCGTAAGACCATTTTCAGGTATAAAGAGAATTACTCCCAATTGGGTAATTCACAAAACTCAAGGTTTAAGTTAATACGTGGATTGAACATGGGAACAGGACTTTATACCTCTTTTTATATCAAATACTCATTAAAGGAAGTTGAATAAAGTTGGCGTTTCTTGAATTTTTAAAATGACTGTGTTGAAAGAGAATCATTATATGATAAGGCAATTATTAAACGTGAACTGGGTTCCTAGTACAACCCCAGAACTGCAAGAAGCTGTCAAGATCAACAGATGGTTAGTTACCATCTTCCAAGGGTAGAGACTAATCATCAGTAACCCACAATGCACCACGGCCTCTAATCAGCACCAACAAGCACAAACACAGGGACTCATTTGTCCTAAGATTGGGCTGGACATCGGGGGCGCCGCAGAGGTACTCAGAGCCGAGGCTGGAGCGACATCAGGGTCCCCTGATGGGCAATAAGGGGAGGGAAAGTATTGGCCAAGGATGATAGGGGTGTCGGATTGATCTCCCAGATCTCCGCAAAGACCGTCCTTGCTTGGACTGGCTGATCCGAGCGCGTTTAGGAAACAGTTGACGCTGCAGAAACTTGTGGTTGTGTAATGAGATCATGCCCTGCAGTGGAAGTCAGTCATGGGAGGCCGTACTCCTGAGGGAGGCCTGCTGGGAGACGCCACTGTGACCGCGCTTACCCGGCTTGGGTCAGAGGCCCCGGCTACAGCCCCCCAAGGACCTGGAAAACTCCGGGGTAACAAAGTACTGGTTCCTCATCTGGAATGACTGGGGTGAAGAAGCAGGACGCACCTCTGATAGTACTGCTGGTGGGGGCATGTTTGGAGCCTTGGTGCTCAGAAGGCTTTCTCGTCTGGGACGGAGGTGAGATTAGTGGCCAGTATTTAGGGCCCCTGCCAGGAAATAAAATGTTGTACCAACTTTAGACAGTCTCAGGACTTCCGTCTCACCCAGAGGGGGTGTGCCTGCGACCACAAAATCCCGCAGAGGAGGTGGACACGGGGTGATGGTAGAAAATACCAAACTGTGACCAACACGGGCAGTGGCCATCTCAACACGTAGCGTGTGGGTCATGGTCCCCACATGTTAATTGACTAGACAAACAGTAAGTATATTTCTTCACTGAGCCCCCTTCAGGGTTTTCACTGACGATGAGGCCGAGTTGGACTTCGAAAATCGTGATCCAGGACCGTAGGAATGAGGCTGAGAGGTGAGGCCTTTTAAAGACTTCTGACTTATAGGTGCGCTTTTTTTTTTGAAAGCACAGAAAAAAAAGAAATCAGTAGGGACCTGTACGCATGCAAAGTCTGGCACATCTTTCTGGTCAACTACAGAGTTAGGTGACATGTAAATATATTTTTCTTTAAAAGAGAGATTATTAATAGAAATAAATTCATAATGCAGAGGATATGAAAACAAAGAACGAAACCACAGAATAGGAATTTGAAATAGACATACACAACATATCAGTCCTACTCACTCTCTACAAACTGAAGAGCGGCGTGTACTTCTGCACACACTATTAAATCCTTCAAAAATTCTGAAGTGTTTTATTATCCCGTTTTACACAAAAATAAAAGAGGCTTAGTGAGTTCACGTGACTTTCACTCTCATCTTGCCCTGTGTTCCTAACTCAGACGACCAGCGCGCCCCGCACCCCTCCCATGGCAGGTGCCCATCTGCCGCAGCAAACACAACGCCCTGACCCCACCCCACCTGATCTCAGCCCTTTTTCTCACTCCGCTCAGGAAGAAGCTTGTAGCAGGTTTGGGCACAACAAACCGAAGTCTGTGTTTTAACATAAGCCCCTGAAGTCGACCCCATTGCCCGAGGTCCGAGGCACTAACTTTGAGAAACGTTGCTCTATCGAGATTTCTGCTGATACCGCAGGTCTCCCAGCCACCGCTGGTCGGCTTTCTGTCGCTAGAGATAACAGCATGTTCTAGACTATTCTATAAAGTGAATTACAGGGGACGCATGGCTTTGTCAGATTGGCTTTTCCTTGGATTAATTAATATGTAGGAGTCCAATGGCGGGTGTATGATTAGAATTTTGGAAAGTCAAATTGTGTTACAAAGGAGTTTCTACTCGGCTTTCCCAACAGAAGGTACAGAGTTCCAGTTCCTCCTGCCGACGCTCAACATGGTTGATCTTTCTGATTTCAGCTATTCCAATAACTGTGCAGCAGTATCTCGTTGTGACATTAAAGCTACATTTCCCTAATATAGGATTTCCATGCATTTATGTGACATTCTTATATCTTCCTTGGTGAAGTATCTGTTCAAATATTTTGCCAATTTTTAATTGGGTTGACTTTAAAAATGTATTATTATAGAGTTCTGAGATTCCTTCTGTATTTTGGATTCAAGTGGTTTACCAGCTCCATAAACTGTAAATATATTCTCCTGGTATGTGACTTATCCTTTCATTCTCTTGATAGTGTTTTTCAAGGTACCAAAGTCAAATTTATCCTATTTCTTTCCTTTTATGAATTATGCTTTTGGTGTCATATCTATGAAGTCTTTTGTTAATCAAAGGTCAACAAATGTTCTAATATGTTTTCTTTTAGAAGTTTTATTAGAGTTGTTTTACCTGGAAGTATATGATTCATTTTGAATTAATGTTTGTTTAAGATACAGGTGGAAACCAAGGTTCCCCCACTGTGGACCGTTATTTTGTGGCACCGTTTTCTGAAAAGACTGTCTTTTGTCTATTGATTTGCTTTGACACCGTTGTCACAAATTCACGTATTTGTGGTAAATACGGATTCAACATTTTGTTCCCATAATCTTTTGCTCATCACTATTCCTACGATACCCATTTTTTTATACCGTAATTTTTCATTTGGATCACTTACTACGTTTTGCCTCTCATTGCCCCTAGTCTTGCTGCTCTGTTATCAGAAACCCTTCGAAGTTCCAAACACAGTTACGTCTCACTCACCCTTGTGTCAGGTCATCCCTAAGCTGTCGGGATGGGGACTGAACTCCTTCCATCAGCCGCTCACGGGGACCTGGACCCCGAACATCTGCTCCCTCGTGGTTCACCAGGCCCCAAACCCTGACGAGGTCGTCTGTACAGCCTGACTCTCCCCTTCACACTTTCACGTGCGCTCGGGCTACACACAGGCTCACACTGCTCTCTGCAGTAACCCCAACACACACACCACCCCCGCGAATACACACGCCGCCCGCATCGACGCCCCTCATCCATCGGGCCGACGTCCAGCCGTCTTCCAGCTCCCGGCTCGGGTGCCACCTCTTCGGGTAAAGCACTTCTTCTGTTTGCTGGTTTTTGAGTCCGAAAGCACAAAGCACGTTTTACCCGTGGCCACACTCATCCTAATGTATCCTGTTGCTGGTCTTCTCACCAGAATGGGAAGAAAAGAGAAGGTCCCTGAAGGCCAGAGCGAAGGGTCAGGAACCTGGCACTCTCAGGACACGGTGCAAGGCCTCTCCGGTGTTCTCGGCGCACGGTCCTAGGCTCTGGCAGGAGACCGGGAAGCGCGTGGCCGGGGAGGAGGGGACCTGCCGGCCACAGGCAGCCTCAGGCCCGGCTACCGACCTGGGTGCTGCTGTTCCTGGGAAGCAGAGGAAAAAATGACTTCACCGTTTTGTTTGTGGGTCTGACTCATACCTAATTAGAAGGACACTTTGTTTTTCTTAGCAGAGTATATACTAAGAATTGCAGATGTCAAATTTTGGCACATGTGCAATAAACTTACCAAACAAAAATTTAAAATTCATTACTTGAACCAGATAGACAACTGGAAGAAAATAAAAAGTAACAGTTAATGATAACCATATTTTCTTCAAAACAGGCTGCACATTTTTTTTTAAGAAAACTGCTGTTCCTTATGGTTTGGCTAACCACTGAGAGTTCCGACGTGGCGTATCTTTTGGTTTTACTATTAAACATTTTAAGAAATGTTTAAAAGCTCTTTGCCCTTTAAAAAATGTGGTAAAATAACAAAAATATCCTTCGGTGCAGTCTTATGTATACATTTTTAAAACAGAGTAGGCCTTCGAAATAGCTCTTCACCTCTTTTCCCTACTGAAGACATCTGTTCATACCTTGTTTTTCTTTTTCATGTATTTTATTGATTATGCCATTACAGTTGTCCCATTTCCCCCCTTCACTCCCCTCCACCCTGCACACCCCCTCCCACTTGCATTTCCCCCTTTAGTTCATGTCCATGGGTCATACATATAAGTTCTTTGGCTTCTACATTTCCCATGCTATTCTTAACCTCCCCCTGTCTGTTTTCTAACTACTGTTTATGCTACTTACTCTCTGTACCTTTTCTGTTCCTGTTCTAGTTGTTGGCTTAGTTTGTTTTTGTTTTTGTTTTTGTCATAGGTTTGGTCATTAATAACTGTGAGTTTGTTGTCATTTTATTGTTCGTATTTTTTTATCTTATTTTTCTTAGATAAGTCCCTTTAACATTTCATATAAGGGCTTGGTGACAATAAACTCCTTTAACTTGATCTTATCTGGGAAGCACTTTATCTGCCCTTCCATTCTAAATGAAAGTTTTGCTGGATAGAGTCATCAGGGGCTGGATAGAGCCCCTTCTTGCGTGTAAGGTCTCTTTTGAGAAATCAGCTAATAGTCTTATCAGCTGACTCCTTTTTAGGTAACTGTCTCCTTTTCTCCTGATGCTTTTAAGATTCTCTTATCTTTAATCTTGACTACTATAATTATGATGTGCCTTGGTGTGTTCTCCTTGGGTCCACCTTCTTTGGGACTCTCTGAGCTTCCTGGACTTCCTGGAAGTCTATTTCCTTTGCCAGACTCAGGAAGTTCCCCTTCGTTATGTTTTCAAATAAGCTTTCCATTTCTCGCTCTTCCTCTTCTCCTTCCGGCACCTCTGTGTTTCAGATGTTGGAATGTTTAAAGTTGTCCTAGAGGTTCCTAAGTCTCTCCTTGTTTTTCTGAAATCTTGTTTCTTCAGTCTGTTCTGGCTGAATGTTTATTTCTTCCTTCTGGTCCACACCATTGATTTGAGTCCCGGTTTCCTTCCTGTCACTGTTGGTTCCCTGTACATTTTCCTTCATTTCACTTTTCAGAGCCTTCACTTTTTTCTCTATTTTGTGACCATACTCAACCATTTCTCAATCAGGATGTGAG